AATCCAGCCCCTCCCCTGTCACGGCAGAGAGCCGTGACAGGATCGAGAGGTGAGCGAACGCCGGTATGTGTTCGCTCACCTCCCGATCTGCTGAACCGACCTGTGACAGTCTCATTGTCACAGGTCGGCTAGAACTGTGAGGTGAGTGAAAAGCACCCCCCTCATAGTTCTCCTTTAAGGAGATCCTGTCACCAGACCATTCAATTCCACAACATACTTCCCATATGATTACATGTGCATTTCATGTATGTTACATGGTATTTACCTGTAAGAGACTCCCTTGTGTTCACATCCAAAAGCCCTGAGACTGCTATTGGGTGCGGCCATCTTGGATGTGATGTCGGCAGTCCCAGCAAACCTGTCACTCTGTGCCCAGGAGTTGCAATAAAGGTTATTTCAGAAGGTGAGGAGAGGGGTAGCGGAGCTGGGTCAGCATAGACAGTAATTAGACATTACCAGAAGAAGAAAGGGATCCCCCGCTCCTGGGGGGTGCACGAGATGTCACGCACTCACCCAGATTGGTGTTACACAGACATGTGTGAGTGCGAGGAGGCGGCTTGGCTTGGTGCGTCTCCAGCGTCTGCTGCACCAGCTGCTCTATGGAGAATTCGCTTGTTCCATTTCCGTTGCTGCAGGACCATTTAATGCCGTGAACTGCGGAGGAGACAGAAAGAGGCAAACTGGTGACCTCATATAGGTCAGAGCCATGTGACCTTCCGTCATCTTTCCCCAATGACCTAGGCCAGAATAGACAGAGAGAGGCTAATTGGAAATTTGAGTAGTACAATCAGACAAATGGCCCTCAGCATCCTCCGGCCCCTGGTTCTTACACATAGGTGTGAGTGAATGGCCCTCAGTGAACCATCCCAGGGTCTTGGTTCTTACACACAGGTTTAAGTGAAAGGCCCCCTGCAACCCCCTGGCTCTTGGTTTTTATATAGGTTTGAGTGAATGGCCCTCTGCACCCCCCGGCTCTTGGTTCTTACACACAGTTATGAGTGAATGGCCCTCTGCACCCCCCAGCTCTTGGCTCTTCTCCAC